AGATTTTAGATCTCATAGTTTTAGACGTTGTCATTAAACGTTTGTCGATAGCCGATGCAAAATTAGTCGACGACCTTTGGGAATATAAATCGGCGTTCTCGCTTGGCTGTGTTTTGTATCAAATCGAACATTTACCAACGTTTGGTGAGCTTTACATAGTAACATAGAAGAGAACACGAAACTATGGTATTTTGACTGCTTCGTTTTAAAGGTGCGTAACGTGATGGACGGTTAGTGAGTTGGTCTTTGACACAAATCACCGGTTCGTTTGGAATGACGTTCACACTACCTGAATTTCGTCGACTTGATCTTTCAACCATAATTAATGTATCCTTGATCTCGAAATTCTTCAAGCTTCAAGAACACATATTCTGCTTTGTGATATGTGATAATGAAGCGCCATATAAGGGATTGCAAAAATTAGGCTATCAACAAAAATGTTGTGTGGATTGGATGAAGGTGTGTGTGTGGGTGTGGGTGTGGGCGTGGTGGGTGGGTGTGGGTGTGGGCGGGGTGGGTGGGTGTGGGTGTGGGTGTGGATGTGAGTGTGGATGTGAGTGTGGGTGTGGGTGTGAGTGTGGGTGTAAGTGTGGGTGTGGGTGTGGGTGTGAGTGTGGGTATTGGTACGGCATGGGTCTGGGTGTGGATGGGTGTATGAGTTTTTATCTTTTCCTCAGCCATACCTACATCCATGCCTATAGCAGTTAGAACGGTATCAGAATGTTTGCTGAGTCTAAACAAGGGAGAACGTGCAACAATGTGTTTGAACATGTTATTAGTTTATGCAACTATCAAACTATGCTTAATATAACAAGTATGAGCACGTCTCAAAGCAAAACCTACTTGAAGAAAAAACACAGATTTCGCTGTTTCATCTGTTATATTCTGTAATTAAACTGCTTGCACAAGGTACAGTAAAATAATTAGAATCTGTCATGCCAAAGTCTGTTCCTATACGTTTTAGAGCTTATTTGTACACCAGAATTTACTTCAACATATCATCAACGTTGAGATCGATCATTTGTAGACGTTCATATCAATTAAAAGCTATCATGACTAATGCTTACCTTTTCATGACACTTTTTTCGGACACTTGTAGTGTGGCTGAAAACTTTGACTGGCTTCTGTATTCGATTGAGAATCGAGATTGTTTACTGTATACCAATCGATTATTTTGTACTAATTTTTCAGGCGATCAAGACACGCCTTGTCTAAATGGGAACACATGGTACTTTTCTATGCTTCAACAACGGAATGTTGACCCAGATGAATTACTCAATTGGCTTATTCCAATTGAAATCGTCGAACGCTATGCGCGTCATTTAGATTCAATTCAATCATCGGATATTGTTGAACACAATAGAAACTTTTTCATTTATAACTGTACTGTAAATCGAATTGGATCGAGGTGCGAATATGAATTATTCGGGGACTTATTAACAATTCAAGAAATCTTCGAGTTTCAATTATCTTGTCCAACACAGCGTATCAATGAGAGTCAGGTGTGTATTGTCGACGAATTTCAATGTAATGCTGGTTTTCTCTGTCTAGAATGGCGTCAGATATGTGATGGCATCAGTAATTGTGATAATGGGGCTGATGAAATGAACTGTCATTTTCTTGAATTTCACAAATGCGCATGGGATGAATTTCAGTGTCACAATGGAATGTGCATACCAATATAATTTCTCTTCGACGGTTTGATCGATTTCATGGATACAAGGGATGAACAAAAAATGTTCAATATAGTCTATTTTTCTAACCGATGTCCATTAAGATCAGCATTTGAGTGCGATGAACGTGTATGTAATAAAAATGAATTCTCCTCTGGTGATGGTCAGTGTGTCCACTGGTTGAACTTGCTTCATCATCTAAAGTCATGCAAAAATTATCGTGATACTGCGTATCAATGTGAAACCATTGCCGGAATGGTAACCACAACCACCGGTGTTTGTGTGCTCAAAAAAACATTCATATCGTTACTGAATCATTCATGCTCTAACAGTCTTCGTCATGTGCTTAGCGGGGTCTTGCGCAAAGCTGCACTTACTGAACTGATCAATTATTGTCCTGAACTCATTCAGTATCCTGAGCAGTCTGTACTTTCGCCAGTACTGAAAACTGTTTATAATAAGTCTTGGATTATTTCGTTTTACGATAAAGGGTGTGCGTGTTGATCTTGATCTTGTCATCACGTTCGCACCCACACCCACAATCGCACCCTTAAAATTATATTTAAAACTAAAACAAAGCTCGAATTGTTATTTATTTAATGCAGACAAAATCTAGATATTTTTTTCGCATGAACAGCGATCGCTAGCAACGCTAGATGCGATGAAAAGGAGCACTAGATAGAATTTAAAGAGATCATTGCGGAGCAATAAGATTGCTTTGGTCTCAACATGACAGATTTATGTTATTCCTTGCCATATTTTTTTTTCTTGCTGAATGAAATGTTGACGGTAATCTTTTCTGTTGGATTCAGTTGCATTCTGATAACCTAGCAGAGGCATGCATAACTCACTGAGAGAAAAATATGTTTCTAAAAATATTCAATGGTGTCCTTTGTTAGATACTTTTCTGTTGTCATTAGTAAATATATAAGTTTAACTGACTCTCAGCGTAGCTAGTTGAAATTCATATCAAATAATCTTCAATTTCTCTCTGACTAGACTACATGTAACTAATGTCAAATGCTTGTAACTCAGCTACACTCTAACTATTTAATTATTTTGCTTCTGTATCAGTCACGTCGTCACTATAGTCAGATTTGTTATGTGATAGTTTCTCAATAGAACGAGAGACTGTCGAGTTTTGCTGACTATGTCATGAAATATTCAAGGCACGTCGTTACGGAACGTGTGGCTTGACATAATTATCGACTCATAAAATTATAGCACCGTTTCTCAGGGCATTTAACAATCACTGGTTAACAAATGTTATTCTCGATCAGTATCCTCATCACAATACTCTGGATAGTGAGTAGTACTCCGCAATATAATCTTTACTATACAAATCGAATAAGTACGAGCGGTGCCAATTTACACTACGATTGTCTTTACTATCATGTTCGGAATGATATTGTGAAATACAAAACACCATCTCGATATGCCTATCAAATTATTCCATATTGTATTCGTCCGTCGGAACTTGAGTTGTTTCGTGTAAAACATGATACATTAGTAGAAGGAAGATCAATTACTTTTGATGAATTAAATGCGAATAATATTACTGGTAAGCAATTAATTAGATGGTCTGCATCGATAGACATTGCTGAACAATATCAAGCCCGTGTAAACTTCGGCTCGGGAGTCTTTTACAATTGTACTCGGCCAATATTTGGAGACTACTGTCAGTACTCATTGTATCCACCGAATCAATCATTTAGTGATGTTGTCCATCATATATTTCTGTCGAAAAATGATTTATCATTTGAGCCCGTTGATTACATAAGTTATTCGTGCTACACACACGTTGAGTGTGATCGTGGACCTGTCCCGATGTGTCTCGATTGGCGAGAAATATGTGATAATCATATTGATTGTTTGAATGGTGGTCAAGACGAAGAAAATTGCTTTTTACTCGAGCTGAATGAATGTGCTGATGACGAATTCCGGTGTCGAAATGGTATGTGTATTCCTAACTACTTTTTTCATGACGATGAACTCAATCCCGATTGTCTCGATGGAACAGATGAATATCAAATATTGTTGGAATCAGAGGAATGCTTCCGAGATCCAGCATTTCGATGCTCTGAACGAAGTCCTCCATATGAATTGGGATTTTCTTGTGGCGATGATACATTTACAACAATACATGCTTCACCATCTATCCATGAGCTGTGTAAGAATGGGCGCGATTTTGTGTTTTCAAAATCTATATGGTCCTATGCGAATCACAATCTGTCTTTGTCACTGGATTGTTGGTCTGCCATGATTTGTTTGCACAATTTGAACAATATAGATGGTTTAGACTGTGATTATTATTGCGATTTTGACAGATGTCTCGAGATAGCTAGAGATCAGTGCCCATTATTATTCATCTTCCCTAACTATCAAATATTTGGCCACGTTCGTTTCTTATACTCATCAAATATCAGTATTCTCGTTTCAATGCCGGTACCTAATTACATCTGCTACAATCATGACTTATGCGACTTTCTTAAACCATCGATATTCCTGAATAATTTGACGTGTCTACAATTCGAAACCTTTGGTTTCAACGAAGATATAGTGCTAGGATGGTACTCACTTTTTACGGCTCTATATGCTGTCCTTCATGGTTGTTCCTCAACATATTCGGTCAATCATCGACAACTTTGTCAAGCAGAAAACGTATTCCATTGTCCAAACTCATCCAAGTGTATCTCAAAACATCGCCTAATCGATGGTTTCAAAGATTGCTATGAAGATATCGATGAGATGATCAGTAACAGCTGTGATCTTCAAAACAAGTATCGTTTTCGATGCCCATATCAAAATAAATGTATTCAATCGTGGCTCTTGCTGAACGGTATCAGAGACTGCATCAATGACGAAGATGAACTTGACTATAACCGACGAGGACGACATGTTCCAGTGGCTTTTACACATATTTGCGATGGCTTTATTGATAGTGTGATGACAACTGATAATGGTCATGTTGAAACTGATGAGACGAATTGTGAAGAGTGGCAGTGTGACAATCACTATACACATTGTGATGGAGTTTGGAATTGTGCGAATGGTGCCGATGAAATTGCATGCGCAAGATCTCGCTGTGCGCCCGATGCGCATCCTTGCATATCATCTCAAACATATAAACTAATCTGTTTACCTCTGGCTCAAGCTGGAAACGGCCAGATTGACTGTTTAGGATCATATGACGAAAGATCATACTGTCGCAAAATACAGCCCATGAAACCGAAAGAACGTTACAGATGTCAGAACAACAGTATGTGTGCACCGACTTATTTGATATGCCGAGCTCTTGAGTATTGTCCTAATGAACTTAGCCGAAGCATATGCCAAACAGTTTTGGCAGGTGAAGAAAGTCTCTTGAAATTGCACGATGGAAATCGATTGCAAACATTTTTCTCTTTTTCAACTAGCGAAACTTCAGATGAAAATCTGATATCATCCTCTGATCATCCAATTATTTCAAAACTATCTCAAACGTGGAACGATGAATCAATCGGAAGTGATATGATGCGTGAACCAGATGACCTGTACCACCATCGAGCATGGTTCTGCAATCGTGGTATTCCAATTTATAACCATAGACGGTATGAAGATGACTGCCTTTGTCCACCTAGTCATTATGGCGATCGTTGCCAGTATCAAAATCAACGCGTGAGCCTTACTATTCGATTCAACAAAGAGAATGCTCCTCACCTTTGGCATGCACTTTTCTACTTCTCTATCATGTTAATAGATGAAGAGCAAGATGTTCACTCGTACGATTACATCACTTATTTACCGAGGCGTGATTGCGCTAATAAGTACAATTTCAATCTGTTGTACAAAACACGACCGAAAGATGAAAGGAAAAACTACAGCATTCACATTGATGCATTCTTCATCGAGCCATTGGCATACTACACCAGCTGGCATCTAAGCATTCCATTTCAATTCTTGCCTGTCAATCGCTTAGCTAAAACTGTCATAATTCCTGTTGAAGGCAACATCGCGTCAGCAAGTTGTCCGATGAAGTGTAATCACGGACAATGCTTTAAATACGAAAATATTGACAAATATTTTTGCCGATGTGATGCAGGCTGGTACGGACAATATTGTCAAGAAATGAGTGTTAATCAATGTTCGTCCGATTCTATCTTTTATGGTATCCATAATAATCGATCGATGTGTGTGTGTCCACTTGAAAGATTCGGATCACGATGTCTGCTAACCAGAAATGTTTGTCAAAATAATATATGTCAACATGGCGGATCATGTATTCCGGACGATGCACGTGTGTCGCAGAATGGGTTTACATGCCTTTGTTCATCAGGTTTTTCAGGCACTATTTGCAATAATACGAACACTAAGATAAATATTTACTTCGACGACATTCCGATTCCTTCAGCGATCCTTATTCACTTCATTACTGTACATAAAACTTCAGAACCAACACAAACTAGTGATGTGAAAAATGTCCCTGCAGATAAAAACTCCGTTGAATTCTATGCACCAATCAAATTTAATCTATTATTCATCGAAATTCCGCCCTTTTTTTATTTGATTATTTTAAAACACGCGCATACTTCTGTCGAAACTTTGACAAGGTCGATCAGGACCAATCATCGTTGTCCATCCGTCCATGAACTTTTGAAACCTAAAAGAGCTTCATTGCCGTTTTTGACACGCGTAAAATTTTACCACGCTATATGTCGTGAACATAACCAAACAATATGCTTCCATGATGATGTTTTTCTCTGTCTATGTACACCGAAACGATATAGTAATTGCTTCGAATTCAATCAGAATTTAACCCGAAAGTGTCGAACAAATATAGATTATTGTGAAAACGGTGCTCAATGTTTCCATGATCGACCCGATTGTCCTTCAACTCTAGTATGTCTATGCGATAAATGTTACTTCGGAACTCGATGTCAGCTATCAACGAAGGGACTAGGTCTATCATTGGATGCTATTCTTGGTTACAAAATTCTACCTAAAACTTCGTTTCTACAACAATCGATAGCAATAAAACTGGTTATAATGATAACTACATTGATGTTTGTCTTCGGCTTAGTCAGTGCATTTCTCTCATTTATTACTTTTCAAGCTCGAAAATTGAGAGAAACAGGCTGTTGCATCTATCTTCTTGCATCTTCCATCAGTTCTTGTCTGGCAACAGTTCTCTTTACACTCAAATTGTGGCTTCTTGTTTTTTCGCAAATGTCACTTATAACTCATCGATCTTTCCTATTTGTTCAATGCATTATGGTTGACTTCTTGCTTAGTATTTTTCTCGCAATGAACAATTGGTTCAGCGCATGCGTTGCTGTAGAAAGATTTGTAACTGTCTTGAAAGGTGTTAATTTCAACAAGAAAAAAAGTAAGAAAACAGCCAAATGGATTATTCTTCTTGTTACTCTTCTGATGGTTTTGAGTTATCTCCATGACCCTATGCATCGTCGGCTTATCGATGGTCTAGAAGAACATCGAATCTGGTGTGTAGCTATTTATCCCACTCGAGTGGATACCTTCAATTCAACGATTAATTTTCTTCATTTTCTTATTCCGTTCTGTATCAATATTATTTTTGCGTTTTTCATCATTCTTACAATCTCTCGACAACGCGCCATTCTTCGTACAAACGAAACGTATCGCCAGCATGTTAGTCAACAATTACAAGAACATAAACATCTGTTCATTTCGCCTTGCATGTTGGTCGTTCTTGCTCTTCCCCGTGTAGTCATCGCATTTTCATCAAACTGTATGACATCAGCTCATGATCCTTGGCTATTCTTGACTGGCTACTACATTTCATTTATTCCGGTCATCGTTACATTCGTTGTATTTGTTCTTCCTTCTCGAGTATATAAAAAACAATGCAGCGAGTCTATCAGTGGTTTTTCTGCACTGGTTCGACAACAATTGCGCTACTAATATTGGCAATTTTGAGAATAAGTACACTTGCACATTAAAACGAGTACCTATATCGTACATCTGGTTACATTGTTAAGAAAAGAAATAGATTCTCTTTTCTCGTGTTATTTCTCTAGCGAAGATATGTTCTATCAACTTATAAGAAACATCAAAATTGCTGAGTAAATCTTCGTATTACCTAGAAATTGCAGATTCGTCCTAAATATATTTGATCGTGACGTTTTCTCGGTGAAAAATATGGGATTTGATACTTCCTTCCGTTCAATTTCGCAAGCAAAAAATCGTTGGATGTGGGTGTAGATGAATGAAAGACAATACCCACACCCTCATGTTTTTTATTTCATTGATGGTGTCAACAAAATTGCTTTGAATTCACCTAACCTTCTGTAATTATTCTATTGTTTTATCAAAATCGCTGTCGACTACAGCTCGACTTGCGAGTATAACATATTCATCTATTTCATCTTCTCGCATTCGTACCTGAAAAGGATAAACCAACTGCAGACATACAAAAGCAGCCTATTAAATTATATCAGTGAGTTGAACAGCACGATTATAATTTATATTGGGTGCTATTATATTTCGTACTTGATTATACTTATTTTAATAAATACGCTTATTCGAAAAAAATATATGTATCGAAAATTCTTACTAGCCTACAATTTTATTTGACTTTGACTGGATTAAATGTCTACGTCTATTTTCCCCTTTTCTTCTGTTAAAAAAATATTACAAGTTATTGTTGATGAAAGTCATAAGTATTTTTTTGCTTTTTACAAAAACAAAGTATCGTAAAGAGATTTCTGTAACTTAGAAATCGATAAATATCGTCTGTATTGACGAACGTGATATAAATACAGATTTTTATTGGTTTTTCTTTGCAATATGCTTAATACGTATCTTCAATTGAAAATTATTCTGATATCGGTAGTTAAATCGATTTCAAATGATAATAAAGCTTGTTTCATAGTTTCAACATCAAACATTTTTTAACAACATCTTGAACTGCATTTGATCAATATTTCATTACTTGTTTTATCAAGAAATAATGAATGAAACGCATTTATAGCATCTATTCGTTGACTATATTTATCAACTTTATTTATAACATAAGCGGTACCTGTTCGACTCATAAAAAAATCCGAAATATATTTAGAAATAAATAAATAAATAGCAGAAAAGAAACTTATCACACTCTAAAAACAAACCATTGCCGATCAATATCAGATTCCAGTAATTGCATTTTATAATTGGAATTTGTTCCACACGTCATATCATTAAAACTAAGAACAGCAGTAAATATTTAATCAGTTTCTATGTCTTTAAGAGCATGATAAGTATTTTCATGTCTTTTAAGAATAAAATATATCACAATAAGATTTTTTATCTTTTTTTTGGAAAAAATTACAATTGAATCACATGCAATAGTAACTCTATCTTTTATTTTTATTTCATTTTATCTGGTAGAGACTTTTTTACTTGTGTTTAAATGAAAATAAAAATTACAGAGAAAAACTAAAGAAACCGAACTTGAAAATATTTAAATAGATTTCTGGGTAAAGCATCTAATATTTTCTGGATCTGGCCGTGACACTTAAAAAAGGTCGACCAAATCACTCACCAAGTAGGCATAAGAGAATGTTTTGATGCTGAAAGAAGTTGTGCCATTCAAGAACCTGTGAATAGTTATGCTCAAATTCAAATGTTTAGATCTTTGTGAAAATTTTATCTACAGATATGGAAGGATCTTTGAACTCACCCTCACGTACTATTTTATAAAAGTTTCAAAATTTTGATGAACTGTAAATAATTCTATTTAACATTTTATAACCTCATAATATATCATTGAAGATTCCTCTCTTTCAGTTTTAATTAATGTATCTTGATTGGATCTGTTCAATGCACCGTTATGAAACAAGATTCTTAAATACAAGTCCGGTCTAAATAGGGCGACTATGGGTTTCAGTCTTCTCTCCGCACACACCCACATCCACGCAGTACGGTACGGAACTTTAAATAGTTCCGATAATGGAAGCGAAATGAAAACCATTTTTAAGGTTTCCTAAGAACGACAAGATCTTTTTTAAGTATCATAAAGCTTTACAAAAGCTTCAGAAGGCTTCGCAGGATTTAGCGAAATCTCAAAAAAGGCTTCGGTTTCGTTTCAATCTTCGAAATCTTCTAAAATACTATTTTTTTCAGTGCACTACACAAGGACAAACAATTGCCGTTGAATGGCCGAGTTAGATTCAAGGAATTGATTGCTCTTCTTGTAATTTAAGTCAGCTGTTACGTAATTACTGTATAGTAAAGTTCAGCCTCACATCTGTTATCATTCTTTGTGTGAAATACTGTTGTGACTCTATTAATTTCATAAGAAGCACTTGATAATCTTGCGTAGTTGTTTGAACAGACGATATCATTGCTGAGGTACGAAACGGGTGTGGGTCAGCACATGATCAATAGGTACACTCACGCCCACACCCACATCCACACACCCACACATACCACCGACACCCATACCCTCAAAATGTTCAACAACGTTATAAAAAAATTTAATATTTATAATGATTATTCTTACAACCAAAACCTATACGAAAAGAATTACCGTGGAACTATCATTAGACCATCAAAACAAATAAAATTTATGGGAAATTGATAAATAAGTCGTTCTACATCAAGACAACGACAACAACAACGACGTACAAGTGGAGCAAGGCAACTACAATTAAATGATTTCATGTCACCACAAGTACATGATATATTATCAATAAATATACCAAATCTTTCATTAGATTTTAATTTAAAAACTTCTGATACAACAACAATTGAGACAAGATCCAATCTACTAGTGAATGCTCTACCACAACGGTCAAAGTTTGCAACACAAGTAATAACAAGAAATGGTACAACTCAACCATTCAACGTTTATGATGATTTAAATAAGAATTTCAATGAACAACAACCAAAATAGAAGAATAATCAACCAGAAAGTAGGATTACTACTACTACAGCATCTTATACACGTCAACAACGTCGAATTCATCAACGGCAATATCATAATACAACTGAATGAAATGATAAAAATTATGATCGATTTGCTGTATTAGAATAAATAGAAGCATCAACTTAAGAAAATTTCAAATGAAAATTGAGAAAAAAGAATGAAAAGAAAGGATTTAGAGTTCAGGAAGCGTCCGTCGATGTGTATGACTGTCTTGGTAGGAGTATCATACCAATTGGCTATACAAGTAGTCATACAAGTAAAGATTAGTTCAGTCCAATTGGTTTAAATTGATATTGGCTTTAAAATTCTCAAATTCATCTCGCTTAGTTTTCAGACGAGTGCACAAAATGTCTAATCTCTCCTTTAGTTTTTTCTGATTCTCTTGACTCTGACCATTGTCACGTAGGCACTGTTCTACCTCCGCTTTGTACTTGGTCAAATGGGCTTGAAGTTCGTTGAAGTGTGCTTGGAATATGTGCTTCATATCCTTTGTCATCTCATCACTTATCTTCAATTTTGCGTGGTCCATGTTCTCTGTTACGGTATCGATACATTGGCCCTTCAGCTTATCACGGGATACGCAATACTTAGCGCCACGTGTAGTTGCATTATTGGTTTTGCATTCGCTCTCAGCTAGCCACAATGTAGTCCACGATCGATAACGTTGTGCAAGCTTTATATCATTGATACATAACAAATTAGGTTGAAGTTCGAACATCTTTGGAACAATTCGGTCGATAGAGAAAGTACTCTTAAGCCGTTTATTGGCTCTTTCGAGAATGCTCGTTATATTGTCGCTTAATGATAAGTAGAGACGATTACTTGCAGCTTGATAGTTTTGAATTACTTCGATTTTAATCGAATCATAAATATGACGTAAAACAGTATTGACTGATTGCACAATATGCTCGATGAAAGCATGAGCACTTGAGATATCATCAAAACAAGCTTCATCTTGACCTTCCGAGATTGTATAGACTGTTTGAATAAATGATGAAAAGAGAAGAGCACTGTACAAAGCATACAGCACTGGAATGTCAGCACTACGAACAGTAGTGAATGCTAAGGCAGCATTGAGGCCTAGTCCGGCTCCCGCATAACTTGCAGCAATAGTGACGACATTCCTTTGCTTTTTTCTCTCTAGGATATGCTTCCATTCGTTTGGATCATACCATTTCTCGTTTGTCGGGGAGAAGATCTCTTTCATTGATTCTATGATTTCGTCGCCAATGCGGTCGAATATTTTCCTTAGATCTGTCTCTAGTGTCAGACAGATGTTATCCAAATCCTTCTTTTGGTTTTGTTTGGTCTCTGTTAAACTATTAAGGTCATTTTCGAGATCATTGGCCTCTTGTTGAAGTTTTTCTTTGCTCAACTCAAGACCTTTCTGACGCAATTTCACATCGCTGAGAAGATCGATGTTCACTCGCTGACAGAGATCTAGAGCCGATCGAAAACAACGCTTTGTTACTTGTTCAATGACAGGTTGAAGTGCCACTGACAAAAATTGGCTCAAACCAGAATCGTCATAAAGTTCTTTAGCGTTATCATTGAGTTCGTCAACGGATATTCTTTCCATGCATCTTCTCCAGTTCGTCGGGTAGTATTCACGAAGTACATCGACGGCTGTGCCTCTCGATGAAATGTTGAATTTCATCTGCTTCTGGTCACACTCTTCAAGATCTCTGAAAAATCTTTGTGCGGTGAGTGCTCGAATGGCGCTCAATTCGAAGACACGGTCGGAGAGAATAGAATAACGAGCGGCAATATGTTCTTTTAATTCCTCGACAGACCTGTCATTACTGCGCCGTTGATCGACCTTGTTAACCAGAGCATAAATACAATCGTCGTCACCTTTAAATTTACGCAATTGCATTATTTGCTCGGCAATTTTGTCATCAGCTTCCGTTCCAATGTGAGTAAAGTCGAGTACGACAAGAATAATATCGGCTTTCTTAATCTCGTGTGCAACGATATCACTAAGATCTCGTGAAGCTGATGCCTCGTTAGGTCCAGGTGTGTCAACGATGACTAGTTGGGACGGGTGCTTCACTTGGTGAACGGATCCAGGCGCGGACTTGTATAAAACATGAATTCTAGGAATCTGCTCGGTGAGAGTACTCAGCGAAAGAAATTCATCGTAGTGCTTCGTCGAGAGATAAATTGATATGCGCGTCATTTCATTAATAAATGTGAGAGTCTTCCGAATTTCTTCTTCTCCAACTTTCGAATCCAAGCAACAATCGTCATCGTTATCTTTAATTAATTTAGCTGTCTTTATCAAAAAAGTATTGTTGTTGAGTAGGCTACCAATCTCTTTTTCATCATTATAATGCTGGTTTAACACTTGATTCATCTACATGGATATTCATAGACTATTTTTAACACGAGGAAAAAAGTATATGGTAGCTTTTGAATATAGAAGGGTACGAGCATATGTAGGAGTTCACAGTAGTGCACAAAAATAGCTTTGGATCGGAATAAAATATCTGCCATGCATGATGAAATATTATAAAAAAAAGCATCACTCTGATGTTCACCTCAAAGTGAGTTGAACCTGTTGACCGAATATTAGTGTGTTCAATCCTCACGTTCTGTGATATGATATTCGTTCTCTTCAATCTGAAAATGCTCATGTATATTAATGTACTTTTCAAATATCAATTATCCACTGATTAACATCTCCGTAGTTTTCCAAGTGAAATTGATTAAGCAAGGTCTAGTAAAAGCATGGTGCTTCGGCTCTTGAATCCTTGTCGCTATTTTAAATATTTTGAGAACATATAAAGGTATACCTATGAAGTTTTTTTCAAGACTAATGACTGTTCCTCTCAATTTTTAAATCAATATAAAGAAGATTCTCGTTCACTTTTGTGACTCATATTTCCCTTTTAAAAGTTCATACGATTCTAGATAAGTTCATGAGTCAACATGGAGAGAATGGCCACTTGTCAAGCTAGTTTTGAGAATCTTCAACATTTGTTTCTCATTCGACTCTGCTGACATCAGAATCATTCAGTACCTCACGGACCAAAAACTCACATTTTTTTCCTATTCCAAGAGGGCGCTCAAATTAACATAGTCACAAGCTTTTTAAGACAAAAATATTTTGAAATTAATGAAAATATAAAAAGATTTCTTATCAAGAAAACATGTGAAAAATCAAGCGTATCCAACTACAGTCAGAAAGCGCCAAGCCTTGGAAAAAAATCTCCCGTATTTCCACAATTATAGATCATTTTAAGGAAAAAATCAATACACAGATCAACTGCTGCTTTGTTATCTATACAAAAAGCCCCTTTAGCACTTTTTTGGACCAAATGACATTGTGTACTTCACTGACTTACTCGGCTTTTTAATTTTGATAAAGCTTCGTGAGTTTCCGGCGACAGTGAGAGTCGAGGTACATCTACGTCTGATTGGCCTAGGTGAAGAATTATTTCTGTGGGCAAGGTTGTCATGGCATCGCTGCGACTTGGTAGTGTGTCCCTGCCAATAAGAGCATTGATGATGGTCGACTTGCCTGCTTTCATGGGCGCTACGATAGTCATTCGTACTTGGAGGTTTTTGATATTGTCTATGTTGCGACGCAGACTATCTACATATCTACTGCTGTCAGCCTTGGTAGGCAGCGTGGGTGCAGAAGATGATGTATCGTTGTCATTGAATCCAATTTTGTCATTGAGAACACGAGTTGTTTCGCTTGTTAGATCGATATAAGAATTCAAGTGAATTTGGAACAACTCTTGCAGTGATGTAATATCCATCATTATTCTTGTTGGTGCGGCTTTATATATTGCCGAACTACAACACGAGTGTATTTTCCCAAAAGACACCTTCCTATAACGAAGTTAGCAATATTGAAAGGATTCTCGCGTCGATTAGGAATAATACAGGGTTTACTTTACTAGTAACTTATACACAGAACAAACACCTCATCGAATGCAAAAAGTACAATTTTTTGTGCCAAAAATCAAACAAATAGTACTGCAACTGCAAGAAGATAGAAACTAAAGGCAAAAAGAATAGATGCCTAATTCCAGTTCGAATATAAATGAAAAAAAATCGCAGTCATATTAAAATAGCAAAAAAGCAAAATATAAAATTGTATATAATTCGAATTAAGAAATTCCTCTGTTGTAAAACTTGAAACTTCAGTTCGATTGAGGTCTCAATTTAGAAGTTGCAAGTTTGAAGCTTCAAATTGTAACTTTAGACACTTCCCGGATTACTGTGGCTCTCGCCTTGGTAGGTAGACGTTATCTGGAATTCCGCAAATATCTGCTGGAATGTTACAGATGCGAGCTGTCATCGTAAAGGTATGATCTGGAAGCTCGGAGATGTTACCTTATTGATTGGAGTATCCCTATATATACTACAGATTTCAGCTAGGATCCTTTTGTTGCCACTGATGTTGCTATAGGTGTTACATAGGATGGTGCTGATATCGCCTGAAACGCTACAGATCCTGCCTGGAAGGCTAAAGTCATGCAATGTGATGCAAGAATCGCTACGAGCAGCCCATTCGATACCCTTGAGCTGCTACAGGCATTATGGGGAGTGACGTGAACACTATCTCAAATGCTAGAGCCACCATCTGGAACGTTACATTTTTCCTGCGTGATGTTCACCTATTCTATGGAACGCTGGAGCTATTACCTGGGTTGCTGCAGATAGTGCCTAGGATGCTGCAGCTGCCACCAGATTTTCTGCAAATTTTATCTAGCATACAACAGATGTTGTCTGAGATGCAACAAGTACCATCTGTGAAGCTATACATATTACCTGGGATGCAAAAGGTACCACCTGGAGGCCTTCACGTCTCTCTTGGTATGCTACCGAATTTGCGGGACGCGAGAAGAAGCGCCTGAGACGCTTTGATGATAATCAGAAGGTAGCGTGTATTAGCATATGGCTTCCGTGGACGGACAGCTCGTGAAAACATGTGGCTATCGTAGCCCCAATATCGCGCATGGATCACTGTGTACACAGAGACGAGTATGGGCCGCGGCTCTTCCGAGAGGACTTCGCACCCCACGCTGCGACGCTGAAATGGAAGGTCGGTTCACCGGAGAAAAGCGCTAACCGCCAATTAACATCAGTAGTTTCAAACTTGAACATTGAATTCAAGTATTCAGCTGTCAGTTCAACTATTCAGCTATTGAAGTACTCAATTGGTCAACGCCTAGAATCCCACCAGAATCATCTAACATAGGCAGGTAATCTCTGGGATGCCACAAGTACCAGGTAGGATGCTGCAAGCATTCTCTAGGATGCTATAAGCTTCCTCTAGAATGCTACAAGCATCCTTTAGCATACTAAAAGCATCGCCGAGAATGCTACAGATTTCGATCGAGATGCCTCAGAGATTGCCTGGGGTGCCACAAGAACTGTGTAAGAAGCGTGAACTACTGTGCAGCACAGAGTAGAAATAATGGTGTACGCAGAGGCTGCATGAGTCACGGCTCTTCAGAGAGTGCTTCGCGCCCCCACGCCGCGACGCTGAAATAAAAGGCCAGATATTCGGAGAAAAGTCTTCTGTATCAGGTGAGTACCACCCGCGCCGCAGTACGATCAGCCCTACCATTATTCTAATAAGAGTGAGTACATGGCAGTGTGTTGTCATTAGGCTAGCATTATATTTGCTGCCCGCATAGATTTCTACTGTATGGCTCGTTGAACTACAGGAAAATGTTACCTGATGTATCCGATACGGTGACTCAGCTATCTAAGATGACGCTTTTGGCATTCTAGATGCTGCTTCTAGCATCCCAAACAATGCCTGAAGCATGCTAGATGATGCTTCTAATATCTCAGATGATCCGTCTACGGTTTCAGATGATGTGTCTAGCATTCCAGACGGTGCATCTAGAATCACAGACGACCCATCTAGCATCTCAGATGATGCTCCTAGCGTCTCATTTGATGTTTTCAGCATCTCAGATAAGCATGGTATGCATGAGATTAAGAATTATAATTTACATAAACAGCAATTGTGTGCTGCTCTTCTATTTCCACATGCTTATGCGTTAGAATTTATAAATTATCATTTATTCAAAATTTCATCGTTTCAATTTTTGCCAGACTTATATGATTGTTTCAATTCGAATTATAATTTATAATTAGGATAAAATTTATCTTTTGCTTGTTTTTGCTATTTGAACATGGAAGCCCTTTTTTTCATTTATTTTAGGAGTATTCATAAGCACTTAGCCCCAGGTTGAGAAGAACTGGCAGGTTCCGACAGGAAAATACCGGTAGTCGCCGAAACAGAGTGGCACTATTCCGGCCGGAAAATTTTTGAATTTTTTCCGGTGCATTTTGGACAACTTCCTGCAGACAACGAGAGGAAGTTGACCTGAATCTTCGACCCAGGGCTCTCCATTTATATTCGAACTCGAATGAGGCATCTCATGAAATTTCCTGAATGTAGCGGTTCGCAATCTACAATAGATAACGCACAGGAAAGATAAAATTCAATCTTAACTTAGCAACAAGCAGCTATTTGAAGTTATACGCATCATTTTTTCTTTTATTTTGGTAGGCTGCACTGGTGCTTTCTCTATCTTATTGTTCATTGATTTTAATACTGGTACTATCGTTAGTATCTATATCTTTTTTATATTTATTTATTTTATCGAACGTATCGAGCGTAGAAACCATCCAAAGTCTTCAAACTTTAAAATGAGTGAAGTATCAATGTGGGTGACAGGTTGTTCAGTAATCGTATGACCGTAATATCTAAGCTCCACAGAAGAATTACTAAACTTCTACCGAACAGTTTCGTCAAAGTTTTGAAAGACACAGATTAGACAAGCTCAGTGAATAGATAACACTTAGAAATTCGAACTAATTATACAATATCAAATGGCCCATTTGTATCTGATTAAAAATGTCCCAGAATGTATTAGGAAACTACAACTTGTTTCGAAATGCACTCCAGAACTACTATCATACATTGGGAAAAAAATATGCTAAGTAAAAAATGTTTTATTTACTTAAATTTTCACTTATGTGAGTACCTTTAGAATGCTTAGAAATCAATCCAAGTTCAATCTACAACCCAAACAAGTTTAGCGTTTTACTGCAATGCTACATTTTGTTATTAGATTTCGAACACCTCCTCTTTTTTATTAACTATCTTAAGATCGACGAAGAATTAAGATAACCAATATGAAAAGACCAATTTGGAATAGGCTTAGAAACTGTAGATGATGTGAAGAAAGATCGGATGGGCGAAAAATTATATTTAACTATAAAAAGTAAGGAACTTCAAAATAGCAGAAAAGATGATTACTGGATTTCCAAAGTCTCCTTCTGGGGTGTGAGAGTGTTGAAAGAAGTTAGACGATTGTGCATAATCTCCATTCATATTCACAATTTTCCAAATCAACGGCCATCATATCCTGTCCAAATCGAAGATGATGGCACCATGAACGGTTTATAAATGTGTAGCGATAAAGATCGATTGCATTACGGAATATTTACCTCCATCTCATTATAAATCAAAAATAGTCGGAGAACAATAGTCTTTTTCTGAAAAAACACCAGCCTGTCAAACACCATGACAATTAACAGTGATATTTACTGACATTTAGAGCAGAAATTACACTGTTTGCTAATCATTAAACGGTGTGTACAGCGAGGTTTCGCATTTTCACTATCATAAGCCAAAGTTCTCTTTTGTTATTCTTTAGAGAAAAATTAATCTAAGTACTTAGTCTGCATGGTTGCATTTCATCATCGATAGTGGCAAATGGTCTAGTTTTCCATATGCTTTTATTGTATGATATTAAAACGAAATATTCGACGTTGTATCAGAAAGACGAAAGAATTGCTATCTTGCATACCTATAGCCAGTCTGTATTGTCGGTCCAATTACCTTGTCACCAAAACGAAAAGTGTCTACTACTTTTTTCTTCGTTTTTTCTGTCTATTTATCATAGTCCTGCTTTAAAAAAACAATATAAAATTGAAATCTTCGCTTGTTCTTCCACCAATATACCACTGTAAGATAGTGAAGGCAAATAGAAGATATCATTCTTGCATTTTATTTTAATATCAGTATTTCAACAAGAAAAAAAGGAGAAATGAAAATAAAGAACAATAAAGCCATCGACACATTAAAATAGCCCATTAGATAATCGATTTTTTTAATATAATTTTGAAGCCATCGACCTTCTGAGTATGTGGGTGTGGATGTAGATGCACAGATATTGCATACTCCCACCCACACCCCACAATCCATTGAATTTATTATACAATATTGACACAAACTTTTATCTAACTTGTGTGAGAGAGAACAGCGTTGTGCGTCAACTTTGTAACAGATAAGAAGAGAAAAGCATTGACAAGATATACACTACGAGGTGCGCAAAATTATCTCGCTCAACAAAAGAGTTATTTGCAAGAAGAGTAAACTGTGAGTTGATTTTTAACCATTTCGATCCGGCTAGCATCAATTGATGTTAACCAGAATGCAAGACAATAATTTTGCGTTCTGTCGGTGTGAGGGTAAGCTCTTGTCGCTGGCAGAATGCAGGAGAGAGTGAATTAGGGATTTTTCTCAGTGCTCTTACAGAAGGAAAAAAGTGCCGGATTGAAAGTATTAAATGCAGTTTTCTTTTTTGACGTTGTTAAAACTTCGGTGTTTCGATATACTGATTTTTTTTGTAACCAAATGAGTATTCATATTGATTCTCATTATAAATTCTCGTAGTCGAACATTTGTCACACGCACATATGGTAAAGCACGAGGTCTTATGCAAATAGATCAAGGGCATGACAACATTATTTCAACTAGAGCTACGCTGACTAAGAAGCTTTTTACTTGAGATTAAATAATGGTTCATAGTGGTGCAGTTTCTATGACAGTTAGATGAAGAACAACTAGAGAGAAAAATTATGAAGGTAAGTGGCTATTTCCAAAAAAAAAAACACGTTCAATGATTTTACGCCGAGTGCTATAAGGTGAATGTAACTAAGAGGTTTCTAAAATCTCCGTCTCTTATCCGTTTTCTAGAATGACTAGCATAAAGGATGATATTACTATTTATGATTACATCATTATTGGTGGTGGAACAAGTGGTGCAGTTGCAGCTCGACGTTTAGCCGAGGGAAAAGATCACTACAATGTATGTCTTATAGAAACTGGTCCCAGGTTTGTCTTTTTATACGCTGCATTCTTATTTGGATCGAGTCATTCTTTGTAACAGCCACAAAGGTATAGACAATAGTCGAATGCCTGGTGGTCTGCCAGCACTGTTTCAGGAGGGTGCGCTCGATTGGGACTACGAAATGGTTCCTCAAAAAGGATGTAATAATCGTGTTCTAGCTGCTTCACAAGGCCGTGTTCTCGGAGGTTGCAGTGCAATCAATGGCACAGTGTTTACCCGAGGTGCCAAAGCCGATTATGATCGAATTGCTGACATGGGAAATCTAGGATGGAGTTGGAATGACATGCTGCCTCACTTTAAAGCAGCGGAAACATTTCATCCGGCAGAGTGGCATCAAGCAGATTTGTCTGCTCATGGCACTAATGGACTCCTGCACACCGAACCACATCCTCTGATGCCTATTTCACAAAAAATTCTCGACTCATTTATCGATCAAGGCTTTGAATACAAACCAGATATGTTCGTTCAAGGTGAATTTGAAGGTCTGCTATGCTCATATTACGCTATAAAATGTTGATATCAGGCATCTCTAGGTGTCGGACATGTTGTTCGCACCATTCACAACGGTATTCGAACTACAAGTGCAGATTTTGTGCACGATTGTAAGATAGCAAACCTCACTGTTAAAACGGGTACATATGTAGACCGAATCATTCTGGAAAAAAATAACATAAACAATAGAGAAACGCATGAATACAAGGCGGTCGGTGTAGAAGTGCATGATAATGCAAGTGGTCAACGAATAATAATCAAGTCGAGAAAGGAAATTATCTTGAGCGCTGGGTAAGACAAAAGCTTGAAAACTCTCCGTTACACTCGGTGACTGTTTTGAAAAATCTACCTTATACTTTTATCTTAAAGATTTCTTAAGCAAGAGCAATTAGGGCAACCTTTCAGAAGAAAAATTACATGATTTTCTACTATTAGTATACCTCGTTTATTCGAGGCTGTGCCTACGTGCGGAAGAGATCTTTTTTTCGTTTAGTGCTTATAACTCTCCAATAATCTTAATGCACTCCGGAATTGGTCGCAGAGATCACCTCGCCGAAATGAACATCGACTGCAAAGTTGATTTGCCTGGCGTCGGCGAAAATCTCATAGATCACCCGATCGTAAGCAATGTTTTCCTCCACTCATTTATAGCATAGTTTATGTCGTCGTCTAGGTTTATACGTCTTATCAAATAAAGGATCCTAATCTCACGCTCGATCGGCTTTTCTACCACAATTCAGACGCTCTTGCATTGTCAATCAAAGAATGGCACAACACTAAAACAGGACCCATGACAAGATTCGTATTCGGCTGCTTTGCGCTTAAACGAATTGACAAGTCGATTCAAGATCCCGTTTGGGAAGCTGCAAAATCCGAGCAGCAGTGCGATGATCCAACCGGACAGCTACCTAACCAACCTCACGTCGAGTTTTTCAATACTGAACTGTATCTTGTTCCGCCTGAACTTCATCCGGAAGGTCAGTAAATTACGCTCTTCTCAGCTTTTCTTTCAAATCTCTATGGTTTTAGCGAATTAGAAGCAAAATTGTGGAGATGCGATGTACTGTATATTTGAGAGTTTTTGCTTGTCTTCGTAGATCGAGAAGAGGACCGTTTTAAAGAATTGTTTGTCGAAAGCAGTCTGCTAAATATCTGTTGCATTATAGAGTGAGGAATCTGAGAGTTCAAATGCATGTGTGATTTGACTTTCCTGACAATCTGATAAATCGAATTTAATCAGAAATTGAAAACAACATTCACTGGATCCGAAAAAGCACAATGATCGTTTTAAAGTAAACCACATAATTGTTGAGAGAGACCTCTCTCGAATATAATCTTTCGGTAAGATTAGTTGTCATAAAACGTAGAGCATAAATAGGATTGGTGACGATGTTGGTTTTATATATATATATTTATATACAGTTCCATCCAATGACGACGGTGTCTTCACACTGATCACTCTTCTCTGTGGGCAGCAAGCGCGAGGCACCGTACGATTGTCGTCCAGCGATCCGACAAGCAAGCCAATCATCGATCACGCCTTACTTGACAACGATCTCGATCTGGCTGTGCTTGCCGAAGGTTGTCGAGTCGCTCACGAAGTGTTGATGAAAGGGCGAGAAACAAAAGATATTATCATTGGTCCTTGGCCAAAAACAACTTCTTTTCCAACAGATGTGAACGGTTGGAAAGAACACGTACGAGCACTCACCGGCAGCTGCTGTCACCCGAGTGGCACATGCAAGATGGCACCCAACAATGACCCGATGGGAGTGGTTGACAATCGTCTTCGTGTACGGAATGTCGAGGGCTTGCGAATAGCAGATGTTTCCATTCTGCCTATTCTCAATAGTGGACATCCACAGGCGCCTGCATATGCCATAGGAGAAAAGGTGGCACATATGATTTTGCAGGACGCTGAAACTGAAAAATAGTTTCAAGGAATATTAAACGATTCGGCCCTTGTCAAAATGTTAAGAGAACAGCTCTCTTTGTTAAATCATCGTGATTATATTGGTTTCTTGTGTGTCTATCAGTGCTTGAATTTGCTTGACATCATCATTTAAAAGCCGAACGAATACAGTCAAAATTCGCTGTGTAAAAACCTATGGTATGTTTTTCTTTTCCCGCAAAATAAAGTATTGCGTTTTTATGCAAATGTTAGCAAAAATATTGTACAGACATAATCGAGTTGCTCGATTCTGATTCTTAGAAATAGCATGGTAGTCGAAAACTTAGGTATAACGATACCTTTCCAATTGTCTACGTATTGTTATCAGTAATCTTGGGTCTAGAAGCTTCTCGAAGTCAGAAACCATGGTCTATTCTTTAGTGAATGTACGATAAATGTTTTCCTATGTATGGCAAATATTGTGCAGACTTTCTGCCTGAGCAAACGTGAACGCGATGAAATATTATTATCGATCATCAACGGATGAATTTAGGCCGGATTCGATTTTGCACGACATTTTTCTTTCAGTGGCAACTAAATGGTTAGAAAACGAAAAGAAATCTCGGAAGACTTCCGAAACACAGATTCACTTTCGAGTACCACCGCAAGCGACGTGATAGTGTTGCTCGTTCTTTTGCCTCACGAGAATTTCCAAGTTAAACATGGGTCTTTGCCCATTTTTTATATTTTCTTTTCCCCTTTCCGTAAGCCCCGTATTAGAAGGCCCCGGACCTTCTATTACGTTCGAGCGTAGAGACTTTTCAGAAGGTCTTCTAATATGACCCACCTTTTATTCGTAGGTTTTAACTAGAAAACTGTTCTAGAAAATCGAGGAGGTTTTGCTGGGTTTTTTGAATGTTTTCGGGATTTTTCATTGTTTTCAATGTTAAAAAGTAGCTGTGCCCTTGTTTAGTGAGCATTTCACCTCAAAACCCTGAAAAATAGGCAATTTTACGTGAAAATAGCTTTAATAATTACTAAATATGAATTAAAATTGGGGAGCTTCTAATTAGGGCGTCCTTATAATACGGGAGAGCGTTCTATTACGGGAGGAAATATAAGAAAAAAGATTAGAACAGGTAAAAAGGAATTGAATCATACAGTTTTTATAGAAGTTTTCACGGCGCATCTTTCGGAAAAGAATTCAAGATTTTATCATTTATCTAAGCCGAGATATATGCGAAATAAAAAAATTTACGACATTACGGACACCCTGTAGTAAAAACAGTGTCATTTTTTTCTAAGACGCTTTTTACACTTTAAACTGCATTGGATGTTTAACGTAAATACATCAAAAGGTGCAGCACGTTTCGGGCTTTCTCGCTATGTATAGTAGGTTAACAGATAAAAGAAGTATAGCAATAAAAAAGGGGGGAAATTCAATTGGCGCCCACTGTACATGAGACATCTTTGCAGTTTTCTTAACAAATTCTCGCCATTTATGGCTAAAACTTTCTGAGCAGAATGAGTAACGAGATGTGTATCTGCTGTATCAATATAATCTAAATTATTAACTGTGTCGCTTATTTTTGGCTGTGGAAATAAATATGTGGTTTTTTATAGCTAGAAAAAAGGTGAGAAGACAACAATAATACTTCAGAGTGGTATTTGTTAAAGTTTTTCTTATGAATATGAGCTATTAAGAATGCTTTATCAGTGGTGAAAGAATCAGCCCATTTGACCAAAATATGAATGGGATAGTCAAATTTTTCTTGTTCAGTAAATTATGGGACGCCCTGTACGCTTATTGTCGAAGAATCGTGATTTCGCCTTTATGGGTGTGGGTATGTGTGGGTGTGGAGTGTGGTTGGGTGTGGGCGTGAGTGTAGGTGTGAGTGTGAGTGTGTGTGGCTGAGTGTGAGTGAGTATTGATGTGCTTGGGTTTGCGTGTCTTCTTCTGTTTCACATCCACACACACCCAAAATTGCCGAGTCCCTTGAGAAGGAACGAAATAGTTCCTGTCGAGCTCTGCATTCTATAATCTATCCCTCTGGTTCTCTCAATTCTAAAACTGTTTCAAAATTTCTCCACTTCATATAGAATACCTTTCGCAGAACTGTGTAGAAGACGCTTTAATTGATTTCGGCGTTCAATTCACATGCCTTAAATCACCTGCCGAGACTCCTAAGCAAGGACGGAAACAATCGTGGTATGCTCTTCTGACAAATGCACACCTTTGTGAATTTTTAACTACGATTATTGCAACAAATTCGTATTAGGTGTATATGAGTCGAAAATCTTTGAAAGTTTTCTCCTTATGACACATGACTAATTGATTTTGTAGTTATAATGCTTCTAAACCATACCTGATGATGATCCCTTTGGTAAAGATCAAAACATGTAGTATGGCTTTAAACATTTCAGATTGGCATATACACACCCACATCCCCGACATGTCTTTAGTAATATTGTGGATGGTGCATTCTCTCGAGCAGTAAGATATTCGTCAAAGCTTCAAGATTTTGAAGATGCATGACGATACATCCGATTAATTTTTGCTCTACAATGGGTAAGTGTTGCATCTGTAATTCTAACTCATTGAGTGTCGTCACAGATACACAAAAAAATATATTAATGACCAATTCAAGGAATTTTTTGTGAAATAAACATGTGTTCAACATTCCATCTCTTACCTTTGATTGATAATGAAGAAAAGTTCTTTTTTTTTGTTCGTGAAAAATTATTTTACTGATCAATTTTCAGTGAATCTCAAATGGTCAAGAAAGTGATCTCAGTCAATGTAGACAATGAAAATTTCACTGATGAGATTCAATCGAAACAAAAGGAATTGAATGAAGAGACTCCTAGTCACCTAATAGTTCATTGTATCCATGAGAAACGACTACAAGCTACAAAACGAGATATGCATCAAGTTTGGTTAATTACATTCAGTAACACATTGGCCATTAATATTAAACGGATTATGGGTTCACGAAATAACCGAAATTCAAAGCAAGAACTTGTCCGTAGACGCCCTCCTACATCGAGACTCACGAATAACCTAGAAGAAGTGGGCATAAAAAATTTTCTGCTTCTCAACTAAGAAACACTTCGGATTCATTTATGATTTTGAA